ATCTTCCCAATTGCTTTCTATCTCCATGACTTTACTCGCATCTTTCTTGGCCATTCATTAGCTAACACATAGACAGTTAAGCATTACATTGTTTCTTCTGAATATTTTAACAATTTTTTAAATTTATCAATTTTATTTAGGTATAATTTATATATAATAAAATGCACTAATTTAAAGTATAGAGTCCAGTGAGTTTTGACAAATATACCCATCTGCGTAGCCAGCACCACAATCAAGACAGCAAACTTACAAACTTTTCTATCACAAAAAAAGGTTTCCTTATGCCCTTTTGGAGTCAACTCCCACCACCACCACTCCCAGGCAGCAACTGGCCTAATTTCCATCACTATAGATAAGTACTTCTGGTTCCGGAACTTCACAGAAATGGAATCATTCAGTATGAACTCTTTTATGTAAGACTTCTTTCACTTCTCATAATTTTAAAAGTATTTATCTATATTGTTGTATATATTGGTGTGTGTTCCTTTTCAGTGTCAAGTAGTATATATTCCATCGACAAACTACACATTTGCTTATCCATTCACCTGTTGACGGACACTTGACTTGCTTTAATTTTGAGTACTTATGAATAAAACTGCTAGAAACATTTGTGTACAGGTCTTGTAGACACATTTTCAGATAACTATCTAAAAGTGAAATTACTGAGTGAGTAGAGGTTTTCTTTTTAAAATTAAAACAATAAAAACATATCATGTTTAATTAACAAAGTTCAAATCACTTTATTTCCACTTGAACTTTTAAAAAGAAGAGGTGACATCATAAGTCATAGAACAGCCCAGAACTGCAAAGAGCATGTGGGGTTCCTACAGGCAAGCAAAGCACAACCTCCTAGAGGTCAGAGCTATCTCTGAGCACTGGGCTCAGTGCTTGCTTAAAGAGTGGCTGAACAGGAAATGAAGAGGTGACAGCTGGTCAGGATGTGGGTAAGCAGCCAAGGCCTACTTCACTGCATTCTCTACATCTGACTGGTGGGGTAGGGAGTCATGCTCCTGGTAGACCCACGATCAAGAGTCTCAGGCTATTCCAGCTTTGGAAAAAACACTGCTCTGAAAGTCAGCTGTGAGTTGCTAAAACATAACATAACATAACATAACATAACATAACATAACATAACATAACATAACATAACATAACATAAAATAAAATGGCTAGAGTACAAGGAAGTTCCTGGCAAAAATTAATGGGCAAGAAATCATTAGCATTACATATAAGAAGTTAAATGGGGATAATTTCTTTAACATTCCAGTTGTACTTTCTCAATTGATTATAATGGTTACCCATGACTTTTGCTAGATTAAATCATATGCATAGTCAACTAATGCATATCAAATGTAAATAATAAGTCTTATCCTGTCTTTTTTTTCCCTGCAACTAACTCCTCATATGCCAGAGGGAATTTTCCAAGTCAACATCAAAGACTAATTAAACATTTGGTGTAGGAGCTTTGAAAGAATGACTGTGTAATTTTATTTTACATATACATGCCAAATAAAAAATAAACTAATAAAAACTTCCTTTGGGTGCTGAAAGTTTGCAGTCTAATCTTCTAAAAGGCAAAAAGCATTGAAAAAATAATTAACCACTTCAGAGTTCATCAACAAATTAAGTCTCATGTTTCAAAACCTCAATTAATCTCTGTGATCACTAATTTTCTGGTAGTTGCCCACCTTTCTAATGATTTGTCAAACCCAAAGCTTGCATTTTCTTTTTTTTCCTTCTTTTTTTACTTTTGTTTTAGGTTCATTATAGCACTATGCACAATAGCAAAGACATAGAATCAACCTAAATGCTTACCAAAGTTATATTTTCATAGTTCTAAGTTTATTTTTTGAATTTAATATTAAGAAAGAATAGCATTTAGAAAGTATGAATTTACAGACAGGAAAAAATAACGGAAATGTTTAAAGTATTTTACAAGGCATCTGATCCACCTAAAACTATTATGTATTTTTTCTAATCTGATAGTTTATCATAGAGTCCTAAGTAGTCTTTACATTACAATATGAACAAAGTGGTCAAAGAAGTAGATTTGACGATTTCCACTTTGGCTGGTAAATCAACACACTGTCTATCATACTGAAATCTCCATGACAAAGGACAAAATGAGAGGTAAGAAGGACATAGCTTGAGTTTCCCATAGTAGCCGGAACCTGTGGTCAAGACTAGCTTGGGAGTAATTTGGCTACTACAGTTCACAAAAATTAGCAAAGAGACACATGACAAAGACTCTGCCTTTCGAAAGTCCAATTTCTTTGATATGTTTTTCTGTTTCTTACAAGTCGATTGCTTCTACCCACCACCACCAGAAACACATCCTTTGGGGGAAATGGAAAGGGTGGTGTACTAGATAGAAAGCAGGAACTCTGCAGTCCTTAAGCAAGACATTCAATGTCTTTGGATTCTCATCTATGAAATGAAGTATTAAGTACTTTTCCTATTTGAAATCAGGAGGAAGCTCAGACTTTTTGGTCCTAGACCACCCATTCAATATCCTGCCCTGGGGCTTCCTATGCATAAATAGTGATGGCTCTGTCCTCCAGCAGAGCACAAGCCACAGGTATCGGGAGTTACATACTGCCTAACTTTCTCAGCTTTCTGTCACTGGAAAAGGGTCCAATTCAGACCTCGCACAAGAAAGAATTCAGGGCAAGTTCATAGAGAAAAGTGGAGGCAAGTTTATTAAGAAAGTAAAGAAACAAAAGAATGATTACTCCATGGGCAGAGTAGTGGCATGAGCTGCTCGACTGAATAGACTTATAGTTGTTTCTTGATTATATGCTAAACAACAGGTGGATTATTCACGAATTTTCCAGGAAAGGGGTGGGAAACTCCCGGAACTGAGGATTCCTCCTACTTTTAGACCACATAAAGTAACTTCCCATGTGTCATGGCATTTGTAAATTGTCACGGTGCTGGTGGGAGTGTCTTTTAGCATGCTAATGCATTATAATTTACATATAATGAGCAATGAGGATGATCAGAGGTCACTTTCATTGCCATCTTGGGTTTGGTGGGCTTTGGCTGGCTTCTTTACTACAACCTGTTTTATCACCAAGGTCTTTATGACCTGTATTTTGTGCTGACCTCCTGTCTCACCTTGTGACAAAGAATGCCTTAACCTCCAGGGAATGCAGCCCAGTAGGTCTCAGCCTTATTTTACTCAGCCCTTACTCAAGATGGAGTTGCTCTGGTTCTAATGTCTCTGACATTTCTATTTTTAGAAATAGAAGTCCATGGGATATTTCTATACTTCTGAATTTTACTTTTGGAAACTAACAAATAATATATTAAATATCATAAAAAGCCTAAGATAGAAATTCATCTGAAATACATATTTGTTTGTCAAGAATGTCTGTTACAAGATGGCTTCCATAGCACCATTTCAAAAGTTGGCTAATGCCAATCTTGTCTCCATACAGCTGAAGGAGGCAGCACAGGCTCTAACAGCTCTATCAAGAAGACTTCAAGTACAAATCTGGGATAAGAAGACAAGATAACCCAAGGTTCACTACCTTAATTCTCAACTTGAGAAGACAGCTACACTGCTGCCAAAGAGAGCTCTTATATCATTGTGCAGCCATAAGGACGCACTTGAAGACCTCCAATAACACAGAGTGCAACTGGCCAAGGATCCCAGCTGCTGTGCTCTGAAATCCATCTCTGCGTTCTCTCAGAGGCTATGATGCCTCCTGATGGGCGACTACTGGAGCACAGTAGGAATACAAAGGCAGGCCTGTAGGATGGCTCACTTTGCTAGAGGACTTCCTGACGCCTTTGCTACCTCTGACTGCAGAGCCATCTAGTTCACCTCCACCAAACCTCTCTTTTCACTTGGAATAAGACTTTAATCAGTGGTCTAATGGTTCCCCTGGTTTTTTCTAGCTCTTCTTTACTTTCTTTTATGTAAGCATTTTCTCTAAAAGTAACACTGCAATTGTAGTCCTGACTTAGCATCTGCTTCTCAGAGGTCCAGACTAACATTCATTCATGTATTCATCCACTCATTAATTCAGTCAAGAATTATAGAGTGCTTAGAATGTTCCTGGAACTTTGCTCTAGGCACTGGGGAGACTGGTGAACTATACTGAGAAGACACTTACATTGATAACCCTTCTTTGCTCAAAGTGTCATAACTGCTTCCCCTTCTTCAGCACTTACTGTATGCTGGGCACTGAACTAAGACCTCTCCACATGCCACATCTCATTTGCTCTTCACAACAACCCTGAAAGAAGGCATTATTATTCTTATTTCATAGATAAGAAAGCAGAGACCTAGAGAGATTATGTTGTCAGGGCCTTTTCTGATAGAGCCAACTTTTTTACTCCAAAACCCATGCATTTAACCGTTAGCTTATGATGTACCTACTCCATTTGGATGTATCTGCTCCATGTGGACCACTGATTAAAGTCTTATCCCAAGTGAAAATAGAGGTTTGCTGGAAGTGTACTCGTTTGCTGTGTAGTCTGAGGTAGCAAAGGCATCAGGAAGTCCTCTAGCAAAGTCAGCCATCCTACAGGCCTGCCTTTGTATTCCTGCTCTGAGCACTTTTATTTTCTGGTAATGCACAACTGCATAGTTGATTTTCCAAAGCCTGGCTTCATTTCTTCAATTTAAATTTACGACAGTTGGGAGAACCATTTACAGAACAGGGAAAACACAGTGCTCCAGAGCATTCAGAGTTCGCACAATTCCAAAGTCAGGTTAACGACAACATTGTTTAACCCACCCAGAAGAGGTCTCTTATCAGGTATGAGTTTCCAACTCATCCTCACTATTGCAAAGAAGATAGAGAGGACAGAAAAATCCTTAGCTTCTCTACTTTTCATCCTGGTCATAGCCCAGCCCTGGCAAACTGATAGCAGGTACTGCATATACCCAGAGCTTCTCTCAGAGGCCAGACAGGCCCACTGCAAAGTCAGCCACAGCAACCTGGGCAGCAGCTGTGAGCATCCTTGTGAAAACTAATGCAAACACGTACCATGATATCCAAGGTCAGATGTGGCATCCTCTACAATTGATTCAAGTTTGCGGAGGTCCATGGAAGGAATAGGCTGAGGTTCAGACAGGTTCTCTAAAGTCGGTTCATCAAATTCCTTGTGGAAGGTAATTAACAATTCATGAGATGCTGATAGAAGGAAACAGTACTACCACAAATGAAAAAAATATTCTTACTTAGAAGACTACTTGGAAACAAGCCTACCTAATCCTCTCCCTTAAACATTTTCAAACTTCAGGAGGTAAGCTGGGATAAGAGAAACAGCCCTGAATCAATGAGACAGGTGACTTTGCACAAAGCATTTAACCTTCATGGGCTCAGTTTCAGGATCATGACTAGGTAAGCCAAGTGGGGTGCCCAAGGTACCAATTGAAGGTACTCACTCCATTGACAGCTGAGGGGGGCCTCCTTCAATTTGGCACCTAGGATATTCCAGTTACCACACCCTACTCCAGCCCTGCTCAGTTTCTGCATCTCAAAATTAAAGGTGTTAGCTTGAATGACTTACAAGTTCCCCTCTAGCTTTAAATCTCTGTGATTCTATGAATTCCAATTTCCTAAAAGAAAAAGATCTAAGAGACCACATGATGAAAGAATTCACGCTTTAAAAAAATAAAAGGTTTAGCCAAAATCAGTAGGTATTTCAATAAATCATTTTGCCTTTTTCCCTTAGTTATGTGTGTGTGTGTGTGTGTGTGTGTGTGTGTATTTGTGTTTGAACCTGGAGCTGGTGCTGAGTTGATCTATTTTTCTTGATAAATGGTTTTCATGGGAAACTACTCCAAGAGTATCTTTTTAATAAAACAAAATTTAAAAGAAAGTTCAATCTAATCTCAATAAGTGAAATGAAGCCATGCCACACTGCAGTGCAGTATTTGTGAGAATATCATCATAAAGTGTTTTTAAGAAGTCAGTTTTCTGTACTATATAATAATTGTTTCAGGAGGTGAAATTGGTTCCAAATTTCAAAGGATTGCTGAGAGTACACAGAGAACTTTATGGATAAAGAACAAAGAGTACATGAAATACATCTTTACGTGCACTTCGAAAATTATTTGAAAATAACAATGTATTTGGACTCTCAATTAACTTTGATTTGCTGTTTCTCTTTGAAGAGAAAGATAGAATTATTATAAATGCTTCTTTTAGAAGGAGAAGGACATGGTCTGATCTTTGGTCCCCATTACCACTCTATGTATAGAGACCTGATCTGCTATGTACTTTTCACAGAGACCTAACTTTAGCCCCAGCACAACTGTATACGCCACAGGATCAAAGACAGACCTGGCCTGTCTTACGTATTATGGTATCTAACTGCTTTAAGCGGTCATTCTTTAGAGAAACAGTGCCTAACATGATTCCACATTCGATGGTGCGTCAAGATTTCAAAGCCCAAATTCAGCCAACCAGAAAATGCCTGCCAAAATAAAAGGCCTTGTCAGCTAGGGTCTGAAAAACAAAGCAAGCCACTCTCCTATATGCCTCAAATAATTTTTATAACATGTTTAAGAGGTGACATAGAGCCCATTCTCTCCCATAACTCTGATTCTCTCCTGTAAGTGCTTTAGAAATATAAAGTAGCTTGCTTCCACCAGGCAAGAGAGATGGAAGAAGGAATAGAGAACAGAGCTCCAGTGAGATTAGTAAGAAATTAAATCATAAACATGTGTATGGGAAAGGGGAAGGAAAGCACTCAAAGATGGGAGCATTTTTCTCTTCCTCTTCTTCTTTATCACATTTTTCTTTAGCCTCTTGCATCTGATTAATCTCTTTCCTATATTCATTTCATCTTTTTCAGCTCAATGAAGCTTTTTCCTGCTACATTTAAAACCCTTCAGGCTCCTCTGCAAAGTGTTCAGCTTCCCATTTGATTTCCCCTTTGTTCTCTGGGTATCATTAAACCTGCCTCACTTTTGTGCTGAATAGTGTGTGAATATGATTAAACTTGCCTCTTCCCTGTCTTGCCACCTCTCTTCATCCTCGTCCTGGGGTGAACAAGAAGGTCTTCCCTCAGGTTGCTCCTCCTTTTCTTCCATTCCTATTAAATGTGTTTTTTCCTAAGGAGATTATGACAAGGTCTGTTCAGCAGTGGTTTTCCAAGTCTTCCCTCATCTGAGGTGAAGTGCTGCTTTCAGGAGGCCCATTTTCTATTCATTATTAATCAGAGTGTACATAGGAAATAGACCAGCAGCATAGGAAATAGCAGAGGGCTTATAAGAAATGCAACATCTCAGGCTGCATCTGGTCTAATCGAATCAGAATCTGCATCTTAACAAGATTCATAGGAAATCAAGGTGCATTTCAAGTTTGAGAATACTATAAGCCGTAAGAATTTGGAGGAGGGTCCATTGATTGTAGACCCAAGTGGGCTGAGAAGGTTTTCCTGAAAACATTTGAAAGAGAGGTGGGATGCTGACAGTGTGCCAGAGGGAAATGGCTGATGTGACTGCACAAAAGAGAGCAAGATGCCTGGGGATGCTGAGCCATCCAGTCTGTGGGCCTGAACCAGCTGGCAAGAGGACACAGTGTTCAAGCAAAACAGACTCAACAGCCATCTATCTGCCTGGAGCATTTCTGCCGTTAATATATAAACATAGGAAACATGCTTCTGGAAAGCTCAGGGCCAAAGACAGTGGTGGCACTAATCTCAGAAGATCAAAGAATGAACCACAGTCTTTGTCCACAACAGCATCAGCATCAGTCGCTTCCCCTCCTGCTCCCTTTGCTCCTTGCTGATGGGAAGGGGATGAAAATGGGAAGTCACTGGGGAAGTGATGAGTTGGGAATTCATAGGATCCTTGTGAAATCCTCTCTTTCTTCATCTGAGTTGGGCCAAGATCAGAACTTTGTGTCTAGCTCCCAAAGGACCTTGATTTATAAGAGGAAGACAAGACCTAATACAGTGTAGTCATAACACCAATAATAATTCCATCCAATATAAAAGAACACAAACATGGTGATCTTGAAGGGTCAAAGAAGAAAAGCAAAAAAGCAAATTATCAGACACTAATATTTAAGCTCATACTTGAAACTACATTTCTTTTTTGCCATATGGTAACTTCAAGAATGAAGTCATTTAGATTTTATAAAACAAAATAATACCATGCCTGTACTTCTCCATTTTCAATCTTAGGGGGAAAATCCCTTAGAATCAGGGATCCCTGATTTATAAGAGGAAGACAAGACCCTAAAGAGATTATGACAAGGTCTATTCAGCAGTGGTTTTCCAAGTCTTCCCTCATCTGAGGTGAAGCGCTGCTTTCAGGAGGCCCATCTTCTATTCATTATTAATCAGAGTGTACACAGGAATCAGACCAGCAGCATAGGAATTAGCAGAGGACTTATAAGAAATACAACATTTCTGAGCATTCTAGAAAACTATGTCCCCATTTCTATAGCTGAATAAACAAGTACTTTACACATGAACACACTCAGAATTCTTATAATTCTGTCAGCCTCCTTGCCAGGATCTGTGGGAATGTGCAGTTCTCAGGACTGTAGGGGGACAAAGCAGACTGAACCAAAGAAGAAGACCCATCTTCACAGGTTATCATTTGCAGGGCCTAGACGTGTGTGGGAAGTTGAAGAAAGGCACCCAGTTTTCAGAGGGGGGCTTGAGTCCTTCCATAGTGGTGGCATCAACACCCTTCTCCAAACAGGGATCCAGCCCTATTGTTGACCCCATGGCCTTTCAGCCAGCAGGTTCTTCACTCACCAAGTTCCCTGAGCAGGAAAGAACCCATCTCCCAAGTCTCTGTAGCCTGCAACAGATCCCACATGGGGACTTCACTTAAATGGAGTGGCGGATGGGTGGGAAAAGGGGGATGGAATTGAGGACATATCAAACCAGCATCCCCACATTGTCTGCTAACTGGTCCATCAAACAGAGGAAGACTCCTGCGGTTAGAGGAAGCTAGGCCTCTTATTGGTCCCAACTTGGGATTTTTAGAACTCCAAAGCACATAGAACCCCTAAATAATTGAGAAAGATGCATTACTGGCAGATCTCCCCTTAAGAGGGGCCCTATCTGGCTGAGGGTGAGGTCTCATGCATGCCCCAAGGTTTGGAGCCCTCTGATAACTAAGCTACAACAGAATTAGCATCCCTGGGGCTTGGGGGATTGTACCCGCAGCCTCAGGGGGCTTGGTGCTTCCTGCTAAAGGAGAGAATCTCTCACATGCAGGGATCTCCATTAATAAAAATCAGAATTTGAGATAGTAGAAGTTCTCTATAAAAATGGCTTCATCCCAAGTTGCTTTTACCTGAAGAGCTATGAGGTTGGTATTGACATCTATTGCCCAAATTTGACATTGTAAAGACCACCTTATTTATTAATCAGAGCCTACCCAAGGCCTGTGGAGACACTGTCAACCATTAGAGAAAATGGTGTTTGCTATTTACAGATTTGGAATGCCGAGGACATGCCGAGGTCATTTCATGTGAATCTGCAACTCTATTCATTATTGAACATCTATGGCAGTTAAAATTTGAATGAAGTTATCAACACAGTGTACAACAAAATGGGTAAGAAACAAAATAAAAAGGAAAAGAATAAAAACCAAAGAGAACAATGTACTAAAGAGGTAAAGCAACAATAGCATGGGTGGAATTAAAAATTAGATACACGCACATTTGTTCTGTCAGCTAATCCTTTTAACCCATCAGTTACGCATTCAGTGCCAATTCAGTTGTCTTGTGCAGAGTAGGCACTTGATTTTTGTTAAATGGATCAATTGACCCACCTCTCGCTACAACCACTTCGAATCGTTGTCACCAACTGTTGACCTACATTCTAGAATCCTTCCTAGAACTCGGCAAAGTTAATCTGGGTGTTCTTGTTTTCTCCCTCGTCCCTTTTCCTACCCAATCATCGCCATGAATCTGAAGCAAGAAAAATTTTCATGTAAACTTTAAAATAAGAGGATACTTACATGGAGTACATCAACACTCAGCTGCTGAAAGTTCCGAGATCTCAATTCTTGCATTCGTTTGCTATTTTCTTCATATTTTTCTTCCACAATCTTTCTATAAGTTTAAAGTGAATGTAGAAAAATAACTGTGAATTGCTAAAACCATGTCTATATTATACAGATGAATGTGATCCTTATTTCAACAGATCGACTGGGGGATTAGAAAATCAGGCCATCAGTTCTCTTCCTCATCAAGGTGAATGTGGTGCAGCACCCAGCTTTTAAAGCTTTTAAAGCACACACAGGATGTTCTGGTTCCTTATTCACCCTTACAAATCCCAAAATGCAGCAGCAGGAGAAGGCAGTGCTCCTCTCTGTGTGTTCTCCAAGTGCAATGACAGAGCTATGTGTTCCCAATGCCTAGCACAGTGCCTAACACATACTAGTAACACAAAAACTGCTTTCAGGATGAACAAATCCATAAAAAGTAAAACTAGAGCCACATATCAAAGGATGTATGAGGAAATATATGGGAGTTATTGTACAGGGGAATTTTTCTAGACACATTTACTTTGTTTTCTCTTATTACAGGAGAGTGAGTTTAAGAGACCTGCTACTGAACTGGGAGAAAGATCTGAGTTCTCTGATTACTTGTGGGCTAATTGATACTCAGGTTTTCCTCACTGAACACCCTTCTGGTCAAACTTTCTTGTCTCTAAAATGGGTACATTATAATTCTTCTGACAATAGAGTAATTTTCTAGCTAAAACACAAGACCCCCTTGATTCTACAATCAACAATTAGAAACAATTCCAATACAATTTATTCACAAAATCAAGGCCAAACTTTATTTAAAACCATTACCTTCAAATAAGAAAAATATATTAGTGTAACATGTGAAAGATATGTGACTTCTTTGTATTAAAAAACAGTTTTATTGTAAATATTTTGTAATCTGCATATGTTATTAAATTTACCTTTTTAATCTGTTCCTATCAGAGATTTAATTTTTCTTTTACCCTCAGCCAATGACATGAATCATGGCACCTTGGAAATATCACCATTTCTGAGGTATTACAAACAGATTTGGGGCTGTGAGCTGATGCAATGGCTCAAGCAATTTATGTGAATATATTTTCCCAGTAAAACTCACATTCAATGTCACAGTGGTTTGCAGAAGCCAACTTGTATTGGCTCCCAAGAGCAGACTGTGTAAATATCTTCCCAACTGAAAATTAAATGATATCATATTGGTAGCTTGATATTGGCCACAGTGGAAGTATTTATATCACAGAAATCAGCAGCCCCCTTCAAATCCAGAGCTGGTTATTAAATATTCACCAGCACACCACTGCTCACAATCTACTTTCATGGAAATCTTTTTCTACCCATTTATTAAAGAAAGCACATGTCAAGGGAAAATAGACTCACAGATTCTTATTTGGCTTATCATGATACTCATTCTAAGTACAAGGACACCTCTAAATCAGTTTTCAGATAAATTAACAAGGTAACAAAAGGAACAGATTTGTGTTCAGGTTCTTTCTGTCTCTCTAGTTCTTGACTGGGGCTCCTAAACTACCAAAACATTGACAGAGGAAGAAAAAATAAGAAAAATTAGGAAATTTGATAACCTACCAACAGATAAATCAGTTTTTCAGAAATTGAGGCTCTTAGGCTCTTTGAAATTTCATTTTATACATGTATTTTTTTCAGTTTTATTAAAACTTAATTGACAAAAAATTTTAGATTTATATATACTATGTGATGTTTTCATATATGTATACATTGTAGGATGATTAAATCAAGCTCTACTCTGTTAGCAATTTTCAAAAATACAAAACAATGTTATTAATCACAGTCACAATGTTGTACAATAGATCTCCAAAACATATTTCTCCTGTCTGACTGAAACTTTTTACCCTTTGACCAACATTTCCCCATTCATGCCCCCTTTCCCCTAGTAACCACCATTCTACTTCCCTCTTTTGTGAATTCAACTTTTTAAGATTCCACATATAAGTGATATTACGCAGTGTTTGTCTTTCTATGCCTGGCTTATTTCTCTTAACATAATGTCCTCCAGGTTCATCCATGTTGTTGCAAATGATGGGATTCCCTTCTTTTTTAAGGCTAAATAGTACTCCATTGTATGTATTTATACCACATTTTATTTATCCCCTTATCTGTTGATGGATACATACGTTGATTCCATATCTTGGCTACTCTGAATAATTCTGCAATGAACATTGGAGTGTAAGTATCTTTTTGATATACTGATTTCATTGGATATAAATCCAAATGTAGGACTCCCGGATCATATGGTAGTTCTATTTTTAATTTTTAGAGGAATCTTCATCCTATTTTTCCATAATGGCTGTACTGATTTACATTCTCACCACTACTGCACAAGGGATCCCTTTTCTCTACATCCTGGCTAACACCTGAAATTTCACTTTTTCATGTAAATACTCTAATTACTAGTGATATCTCCCACCAGCAACACCGCCCTGAGCATAGACTTTTCTAAAGGCTTCACTTGACAGAACAGAGCTCTGTTTCCCATCTACTTCTTTCAAAAGCTAACAATTTCCTGCCAATAAAGTCTCCTTCCTATAAATAAGTGAGGTCTCCTGGTAGAAGGTACGCAGCAAGCACCTAGGGAATCTGGGTAAAACAGTGATGTCTCCTGCTGGGGTATGTGCAGAAGCTGTCAACAGCAATGAGGTTTCATTTGGAAATTGACTCTATTTTCATCACTAATAACCTCCCAAATAGTTAATCTTTCCCTTCACACAAGACTGAAAGCCTGATATTAATAGCACCTGACATTCAATCTATGGCTCAATAGTCATCTTGAAGTGAACGAGTGAATGAATAAACACATAAACACATAATCGTATGCATTGGGGTTTCCTGTTTTGGTTTCTGCTTTTCTCTGTAAATTCCCTGAGAGCCCTGAGAAGTAGTACCGAGCATGAGTGCTTAAAGGAAATGCAACTTACTTCAGCTTCCTGGCTTTCTCATCAGCTGCCTGGAGCTTTCTCAGCCTCATCCTTTCTCTTGGAGTCATTTTCTGTACTTCTGACAGTGCCCTCAGAGTCTGCAGGTGGATCCTTTTTTGCCTATAAATAACAAAGATTCCCCTCATATAGCCCATCCCAAACATGTTCAGAAAAATTAAACAAATATTTTATAAAAGTATTACTACACTACTGAGAGCAAAAGCATCTTGAGACAGGCCAGGCAAAACCTAATAAGCTTTGGGTATGTAATGAGCCAACCAGGACTGTAGTTAATAAGCAACACTTCCCAAATTAGATTCTTGTTTAAAGGAAATTATTTACTTTCCAAATTCCTGCTCGTTTCATCGCCAATGACTAGTTTTCATAAAGTAAAACAAATTAGGATCTCGGCCATCAAAGAGTAAATAGACGGGCACAGTAATTCCACTATGTGTATAAAACACATAATTTTTAGAGTTAGGCAGAGTTTGAATCCCACCTCCACCACTCATTAGCTCTGTGGCCTTGGGCAAGTAACTGAACCTCCCTGAATCTCAGTTTTCTCATCTGCAAAGAATGGGCCATAGTAAGTATCACATGAGATAACACATGCACAGTGCCTAGCACATAAAAAGTATTCCAAATGCTAGTATTATAATAGCTAAATCTTATTTTTTAACTTTTATTTAAAGTTCAGGGGTGCATGTGCAGGTTATACAGGTAAACTCGAGTCATAGGGGTTTGTTGTTCAGATTATTTTGTCACCCACATATTAAGCCGAGTACCGATTAGTTATTTTTCCTGATCCTCTCCCTCCTCCCACTCTCCACCCTCTGAAAAATTCCAGTGTCTGTTGTTCCCCTGTGTGTCCACATGTCCTCATCATTTAGCTCCCACTTATAAGTGAGAACATGCATTATTTGGTTTTCTGGTCATGCATTACTTTGCTAAGGATAATGGCCTCCAGCTCTGTCTATGTTGCTGCAAAGGACATGATCTTGTTATTTTTATGACTGTGTAGTATCCCATGGCATAAACGTACCACATTTTCTTTATCTAGTGTACCATTGATGGGCATTTAGGTTGATTCCATGTCTTTGCTATTGTGAACAATGCTGCAATGAACATATGCGTGTATGTGTCTTTATGACAGAATGATTTATATTCCTCCAGGTATATATCCAGTAATGGGATTGCTGGGTCAAATGGTATTCTATTTTTAGGTCTTTAAGGAATTACCACAATGTTTTCCACAATGGTTGAACTAATTTACACTTCCACCAATGGTGTATGAGTGTTCCTTTCTCTCTTCACCCTCACCAGCATCTTTTTTTTTTTTTTTTTTTTTTTTTTTTTTGAGACGGAGTCTCACTCTGTCACCAGGCTAGAGTGCAGTGGTGCGATTTCAGCTCACTGCAACCTCAGCCTCCTGAGTAGCTGGGACTACAGGTGCGTGCCACCACACCCAGTGAATTTTTGTATTTTTAGTAGAGACGGGGTTTCACCATGTTGGCCAGGATGGTCTCGATCTCTTGACCTCATGATCCACCATTCTGTCTGGTGTAAAGTTTCTGAGAACTTGCCCTATGAATCTGGGTGGTCCTGTATTGGGTGCACGTATATTTTGGATAGTTAGATCTTCTTGTTGAATTGAACCCTTTACCATCATGTAATGCCCTTGTCTTTTTTGATTATTTTTGGTATAAAGTCTGTTTGGTTTGAAATTAGAATAGCAACCCCTGCTTTTTTCTATTTTCCATTTGCTTGGTAGATTTTTCTCCATCCTTTACTTTGAGCCTATGTGTGCCATTGCATGTGAGATGGGTCTCTTAAAGACAGTATATAGTTGGGCCTTGCTTCTTTATCCGACTCTACACAGTGCCTTTTAATTGTGGCATTTGGTCTGTTTACATTCAAGGTCAGTATTGAGCTGCGTGGATTTAATCCTGTCATCATGATGTTATCTGGTTATTATGCAGACTTGTTTGTATGGTTGCTCTATAGTGTCACTTATAGTCTGTGTACTTCAGTGTATACCGGTAGTGGCTGGTAATGGTCTTTCCTTTCTATATTTAGTGCTTCCTTCGGGAGGTCTTATAAGGCAGGTCTGGTAGTAACAAATTCCCTCAGTATTTGCTTGTCTGAAAAGGATCTTATTTCTCCTTCGCTTATGAAGCTTAGTTTGGCCAGATACGAAATTCTTGGTGGAATTTCTTTTCTTTAAGAATGTTGAATGTTGGTCCTCAGTCTCTTTTGGCTTGTAAGGTTTCAGCTGAGAGATCTGCTGTTAGTTTGATGGGCTTCCCTTTGTATGTGACCTGACCTTTGTCTCCAACTGCCTTTAACATTTTTTCTTTCATTCTGATCTTGGAAAATCTGATGATTATGTGTCCTGGGGATGATCTTCTTGTGAAGTATCTTACTGAGGCTCTTTGCATTTTCTGAATTTGAGTGTTGGCCTCTTTAGCTAGGTTGGGGAAGTTCTCATGGATGAAATTTCTATGTTTCTATGTAACATATTTCTATGTTTTCTAAGTTGCTTCAATTTTCCCCACCTCTTTCAGGGACATGATTTGATCTCTTTTACACAATCCCATATTTCTTGCAGATTTTGTTCATTCCTTTTTCTCTATTCTTCCCTGTCTTATTTCAGAAAACCAGTCTTCAAGCTCTGAGATTCTTTCTTCAGCTAGGTGCATTCTGATAGTAATACTGGAGATTGCATTTTTTTTTTTTTTTTTTTTTTTTTGAGATGGAGTCTCACTCCATCATTCAGTCCGGAGTGCAATGGTGCTATCTCAGCTCACTGAAACCTCCGCCTCCCAGGTTCAAGCAATTCTCCTGCCACAGCCTCCTTGGTAACTGGGATTACAGGCACCTGGCTAATTTTTGTAGAGATGGGGTTTTGCCATGTTGGCCAGGCTGGTCTCGAACTCCTGACCTCAAATGATCCACCCACTTCAGCCTCCCAAACTGGTGGGATTACAGGCGTGAGCCACTGTGACTGGCCTGAAATTCTTATAGTGTGATTTTCAGCTCAATCGGGTCAGTTACATTCTTTTCTATACTGGCTATTTCGTCTGTCAGCTCCTGTATCATTTTATTATGTTTCTTAGCTTTCTTGGATTGTGTTTCAATGTGCTCCTGCATCTCAATGATCTTCATTCCTATTAATATTCAGAATTCTATTTCTGTCATTTCAGCCTTCTCAGCCTGGCTTAGAACCCTTGCTACAGAGGTACTGTGGTCACCTGGAGGAAAGAAGGCAGTCTGGTTTTTTGAGTTCTCGAAGTTCTTGCACTGGCTCTTTCTCATCTTTGGGGCTGAAGTTCCTTCAATCTTTGAAGTTTTTTTCCTTTTATTCTATTTGATAACTTTGACAGTTTGATTTTGGTATAAGGTGGATTCAGTAGACTGGCTTTGTTTCTGGAAAATTTTAGGCAGCCAGTGCTCAGCTCCGAACCCCTGGGCTGTGTGCTCTAACTCTGGGAGACTTGTATTGGGCCCCAACTTTGCTCTCTGGCTCCTCAAGGTCATCAACTCATTGCACTGGGGGGCCCAATGTGCTTCTGGACAGCTGGTCACTACACTCTGATGGGTGGTGCCAGCCAAAGCATTTTGTAGGATGGTGGCAGTAGGATCCATCCTTGCTTGCATGTGCCAGCAGCGGCAGCGGTGGTGGAGTGGCAGTGTGGAGGGGTGCACACTTGTCAGCTGTGGAAAGGTGCTAGCAGGTGTCAGGGTGCCTGTCTCCCTGGGGGCGTTCACAGCAGCAGCAGAAGCAGAATGGCTCAGGGAGCTGGGTCCCTCCACTGGCAACTGTGCATGTGGTCCTATTGGTGGTGGTGCTAGCACAAGGTGCAGCACTGGTGGGCATAGGTCTGTGTGCAACCTCTGTGCATGTTGACACGCACATAGGTAGGAGTGCATGTCAGGGCAGGGAAGGGTCCGCTGTTCTCTGCACCTAGTTTCACTCTAGCAGCAGTGTTGGTACAGGGGCAGGGTGCTGGCAGGGCCAGGGCTGGCTGTCTCTGTGCCGCCAAGGCTCTGACTGCAATGGCAGGGGAGGTGAGGTGGGATACACTCCCGTCAGCAGCAGTAGCAGGGCACACGCATGTTGGCAGGGCAGGAAAGTCAAAATCTGCCCATGTATATACATGCCAGAAAAGCAACATGGGGAGGGGTGTGGCTGTGAGCCTGGGGAAGCTGCAGTTAGGGGAAGGAGTAGGTCTCCCCACTGGATCTCTCCTCCAGTCAGGCATGATTCCTCAGCAGTACAGAAGCTATGATGTAGACCCCCAGGGCACCCGCGGCTGCACTGCAAGCAGGCATGGTCAGGCTGGGCCTCAGGAGAGGACAGAAGATCAAGGGGTGCTCAGGTCAGATCAGCCTCCTCTGATGGGCAAGACTGCCTGCAGAGTTCAGGTCTGACAGTTCCCCTGGGTCTAAAGTCTCCCATGGGAGCAAGTCAAGCCAAGGGGATGGTCTCCCTGGCCATGCTCTGCTGCAGACACTCAAGCACCAAACCCTCTGGGCTCCACATCGGCTGGTGTGCTGCCCCTACTACTTCTCTAAGCAGCTCTCCCTACCAACTCAGGTGTCCCTGGTGATCAAGGGGTCTCCTCCAGCTGGAATTCCAGAGGCCTGTGGCAAGAGTAGGTTGCTCCCTGCCAGTTCAACTCACCCATTCCCCCAGCATCACTGGAGACCAGGAATGGGTCCTGGTGCACAGGTGTACAGTGGCCCCATGCAGGATTCCCAACTTCCTCCCCCTTCAGCCCAGCTTCTGTGCCTTCTCTCCAGCCACTCTCAGGAACATCTGTTAGGAGTGTGCCAGTAGTCCTGGTCCCTCAGTGGCAGCTGTTCCACCTGGCTGCACCTAGTTGGGCACCTTGTCCCCTACCTCATGCTAAATTTTATTGACTCTGTCTTCTATTCCAGGCTTAATACAGTAGATATTTTTGTTGTAGCATGGTGTCATGGTTAATTGCACAGATTAATAACACACTCTGGGTTCAAGAATACACAAACTTTTTCCCACTGCCCAGACTGTAATGGACAATGTCTACACTCCCAGGACCAACATAAGATTTAGGATAGTGAGATACCTCAGGAGCAAAATCTAAGGGGGCACCAAAAAATTCAGTAACCAAGATAATTTTAATGAAAATTATTTTTAAAAATCAAAGTTAATTTCAAAAAGCTATAAAGACTACAATAGCAAAATTTTAAGGACAGGACCCAACCCTGAACTTATACAATTCCACCTCACTTTCCTCACCCTGATCCTGGCCCTGCTGGACCCTGTCTTTAAACTTTTAATATTTTGTTACCAGGGATTTTAAGCATTAATTTGGAGTTTTACAATACTACATTAAAATTTGATCTTGATTATGAGTTTTTGGTGTCCCATTGAAATTTTGCCACAGGGTCAAGGGCCTCACTTGCATTATCCTGGTCCCAGCAGATCGCTGTGAATACCTTTAGACCTTTTTTTTTTTTGTGGAATGTTCACAGCCTCTTCAGTGTTTTTGATCCCAACAATCAGCACATAAACCTCTTTCGATGTATTGTTAATGTTAAGCATGTTTCTTTAACTGAAAAAGAGGCTAAATAATCACATTGGCTAACATTTTAGCAGGTAATAACCCCATGCTTATAAGCACTTTACATGAATTAACTCACTTAAATGCAGAGCAACTCTGTAAAGTAGGTACTTTTTTTATAGTCATAGAGAGGTTAAGTAACTTGTCCAAAGTAATATAGAGTATTACCTGGGAGCTAGAATTTGAATTGAGAGAGTGTTATTAATCTGTGTAATTAACCACTATACCATGCCACAGCAAAAAATATTTACTGTATTAAGCCTGGAATAGAAGACATGGTCAATACAATTTAGCATGAGGGAGGGGGCAAGATGGCCGACGAGAGGCAGCCAGGCAGACAGGGATGACTCGCACACGTCTAAAAATCTTCAGAGCGAAGGCACATTGAAAGAACTTCAACCACATTCTCAATGGCATTTGCTTCTCTTCCTGACTTGGTTAGGGCCCAATACTATAGAAGACCTTTTGCACTCCACTCTTTCCTTGACAAACACTATGAGAAAATTGTAATGACCTCTGAGGACAGTTCTAATACCTCTCTGACACCATCCAGACCACAGACTCCAGAGGACATTCAATTTTCAGGAATATACATCTCTTATTTTGTCAGACCAATGGATCTCCTTGAAACATAGTCATAGATCTCAAAAATAGCAGTGACCATCTGAAGTTAATATTTCATAATGTAAAATACCCTCCAAACAACTGGATTCTAGAACACTGTTAATTGTAAACAGTGTCAGTTTTATAACTGCAGTACAAAATGATAGCCAAAACTAGTCCAGTATTTAAAAAATATCTACTACTCTCACATCTCTAGTTAATAAAATACAATTGGAAATTTCGAGGTTTCTTGAAATAGCAGATAATAAACCATAAAAACAAGGTTATTAGGAACATGCCTAAAAATTTACCCCCTGTGGTATATAGTGTATCTTAACTGGAGATCATGCAAATTTCCTCAGTTTGAAAGTGAAGATGGAAAGCAAACATGGTGGAGTTGAGAAACATTGGACTGGGTGTTGGAGGAGTGTATTTGTGCTAGAGCAGCCTATTGAGAGCTTCTGTTTTCACTCCACTGTCCTGCACACCTCTTGTATACTACAGTTGTTCATGACTGTACAACTATGCAAAAACCCAAAACATACGAACCTAGTATTCTGGGTTCTTGCAAGTTACAGAACAAAAATTTTGAACGAGGTAGGAGAGGGAAGTTAGATCAGGAAATAAATTTGTTTCTTTGGGAAATACATTGTTTAGTTCTTATATGAAGGAATGTATATTTCAAGAAAGTGAATTTCAGCTTATTTTCAATTGTCCCAGGACTTCACAATGTTCTCTTGTCAATAGATACTCTGCCAGTTCACATTAAACAAACAACATGTGAAAGCCATTTGTGGTTATTATGGAAGGCTCATTAGCATAAATGTTACTAAATATTTGGGATATTAACTTCTCTATATCCTTGCAAGGCAACTGCAGAGCTACCCTGCAGATTTGTAAGCTGTGCAGTGGTTTAAACTTTTATGATTTCAATTTGCTACCACCTGGGGTAAAGGGCTTTGGAACACCAAGTTCCTGAAGCTCCTTAATTTCTTGGCAAGACTTAAGTGAATTCTAGGATACTCCATGCAGTCAGTTTAGTGCTAATAGATTTTTAAAGACAAATGCATTCAACATTTACACTCGATGGGCTTTTTAAAAACAAAGCAATTACTTACATGGCATTAATTAAACGAGCAGCCTCCTTCTGACAATCCAAATTCTTGTCTTCCAGAGTCATTTCTGCATGTCTACACATTAGGTGCTGCAAAAAAGTTCAACAACCCTGACATACCTTAAAGGCTCCTCTTTCGGGATGAAAGGGAATAAATTACCAAGTATCTTTTCAGATTTGGGGTACTTTTGACCACGGCAGGGAGCCTGAGAACAAAGCATGCTATTTTTTCCTGGGTTCCGTAAAATTACATGGTAGCTTTTCCAAGAAGATTTTGCAGGGTCAGGCTCCTGCCTGTCTCTCCAGCTTCATCTTGCACTGCTTGCTCTCTCACTCCCTTTTGCCAATCATGGGCAGGCCTACTTTCAGCTACAAGAAGATACAAGCTTTTTCCAACCTCCCAGACTGTAGAGGACAGTATCTACACCCCCAGGGCCAGTGCAAGGTTTAGGCAAGTGAGATACCTCAGGTGCAAAATCTAAGAGGACACCAAAAAACTCAGTAACCAAGATAAACAATTTTAATGAACATTATTGTTAAAATTAATGTCAAAAAACTATAAAGAATACAATAGCAAAACGTTAAAGACAGGATCCAACCCTGAACTTACACAATTCCACCTCACTTGCCTCACCGTAATCCTGGCCCTGCTGGATCCTGTCTTTAAACTGTTAATACCTTGTTACCTGGGATTTTAAGCATTAATCTGGATTTTTAAAATATTACTTTTAAAATATTATGAGTTTTTAGTGTCCCCTTAAATTTTACCCCAGAGTCAAAGGGCTCACTTGCCTCATCTTGGTCCCAGCAGATCCCTGTGAATACTTTTTGACCCTTTTTATTTTTTTTTGAATGCTCACAGCCTCTTCAGTGTGTTTTTGATCCCCACAACCAGCATATGAGGCTCTTTTTCAGAGGACCACCTGCAGGTTCTACTGGATCCCATTTGGCCTTCACAGAAGGAGAGATGGAAGTACCAGGAAACCTAAGCCTGCCTCCGTCTCTCCTGTCCTGCCTTCCCCATGACCGCGTGGGCTTCCCTGAGAGCACAGGCTCACATACGAACCCTCCCATCGGTATCTACCTCCAAGGCACAACATCATCAGGACCTTTGTGCCAGCTATTCCCTGTGATTCGAACACTGTTTCTGAGGCTCTTTACATGGCTGGTTGCTTCCCATTGGCTCGCTGGTAAAGAAATGTCAAGTACTCCTTTGACCACCAAAGCCCTTCCTTTCTCCCTTATTTTTACAGGATCCTGTTTGTTTATTATACTTTCTTCCTAGTGCTAGGCATATACTTATGTTATTTACATCCTTACTTTTTCTTGGTTATTGGCTTCTCTCACTAGTCAAGCTTCAAAAGGACAGGAAACATACCTGTTCCTTTCATTTTGGCATCCCCTGGTGTCAGCACAGTGCCCAGCACTCAATTAATAAGTACACATCATTTATCACCTTTGCTTCCTTTGGATTTGCAACATGCCCCACTGATGAAAAGCTATGCACAGTTTTTAAGATGGATGACCATTTTGTGGTTCTTCTTAAAGTTACCCATAAAATTAGAGGAAACTTGCTTCAGGGATTTGTATTGTAAAACCCTGAGAAGTTAAAAACAACAACAACAACAACAACAAAAAAAAAACACCCAAAAGCCCTCTAAAGAGGGGACCATTTGCTGCTTTCTTAATACCTGAGACACGGCCTCTATATCACATTTCCTAATTTACAAGAAAACAAAATAAACTTAGCTAATCATTAAAAAGTATTATTGTGATATATAATAAAGGATTGGAATTATAAATGCTCAGTGATAATCCTAGATTTTAGTATTCTCTGTTACTATATTCTTGTCCTTGCAGGGATATAGTTACAAAGTGTTTGGGTAAGATCTGTCCACAGGGCTCCAAGGACAGATGTTGAGTTTTGGCATAAAAAACCCCTCACTTCTCATTTTCAATGGCACTAGGGAATGGGAGTTCACACACACCTTATTTTGGAAAGAGATTGTCCTGACTACTATTTTTCTCAGCTTTTTAAAATTCGTATTTATTTATTTATTTTTGAGACAGAGTCTCACTCTGTCACCAGGTTGGAGTGCAGTAGCACAATCTTGGCTCACTGTAACCTCTCCCTCCTGGGTTCAAGTGATTTTCCTGCCTCAGCCTCCTGAGTAGCTGGGACTACAGACACACACCACCACGCCCAGCTATTTTATTTTACGTTTTTTGTATTTTTAGTAGAGACGGGGTTTCACTATGTTGGCCAGGATGGTCTCGAACTCTTGACCTCGTGATCTGTCCGCCTCGGCCTCTCAGCTTCTTTTTGACCTTTTTCCTCCTTTCTGGTTGATTCTTACTGCATCGTATCCCCTCTGCATATCTTCAAGTCATGGAATGTGTATACAAATGCTAATACCTGTTTCGAAGAATCCCTTTCATTTTAAATACCTGTAGCTGCTCATCAATGTAAGGGATCTTTAAAATTTCGATAGCAGATGGTCTTAATGAAGGATTCTTGTTCAACATGCTGTAATGTTTAAAAAGAAAATTATTTTTCAAATGAACTAAAATATAAGTACAATTTTCAACTATTTCTGGGACAACATATTTATTTCTATACCTTTCCATGATGGCATTTAGTTCTTTTGGATATCTCTCAGGGAGAGAAGGTGTGTCACCTTCAACAATTTTTAAAACAATGGATAAGAAATTGGAGCCAGCGAATGCATGATTCATGCAGCACATCTCATATAAAATGCATGCCAGTGACCTGAAGACAAAGTCAAAGAATTTAAACAAGGAACAAATATCCTATTTTAAATTTTTTCATCATACAAAACCTCAGATGTGTTGGGGCATTGGCTGTGAGGCACAAACACGCAATCAGTAGTTGACTTAAAAACTGCAGTTTCATACTGTTTTTTTCCATTTAAAGACATGTTTACCAAAAAAAAAAAAAAAAAAAAAGGGAAAGAATAAAGCACAAAAGTAAGTCTGAATGACAGCTTATTTATCAAAGAATAAGCAGCCCAAGAGTTAACAACATGCCCACACATAGTAAAGATTCTAAGTATTTGATCAATGTAAGGATTTTTTGAATTAGCCTTTAATAAATAAAATGCAGCTGAAGATTATCTTCCTAAGGCAGTTTGATAATTTTATATATGCAAAATATAATTTTAATTTAGCAGCCTAACCTTCCCTCTAATGTGCATCCAAGCATTTTTAAAAGGAAACTGGCATTATTTATTATTCTCTGAATATAATCCATTTGCAAGTGGGGTGGAAGAGCAGCTACTTGAAGCCCACATTAAAATGCATAATTCTCCTATGGTGAGTATGAAACAGAATATTAAAATTCTAGATAAGTCCAACACTGATTTGGATTAACCATGCAAATCAATAACCTCTAAACCAGCAGGAAAATATTTTAAATAACTCTACATCATTAAAAAAAAACTGAAAGAGAAATTCCTGTCTGAGCTTAGTATTAAGAAATAATAGCACTTCTCCTGAATAATGAATTATTTTTATCTTATGGACATTATGAATTATGTAACTGTCCAGGTTTTCCTTTTCATGTTAGTCACTTGAAAGATAAGAAATAAACTTGTGATTGACCTTGTGTAAGTTACATTTTATGTAACTTTTAACAATGTCCTTAATACAACAAAGGATAGACAGAAATAAATACATTAATAATATCATTGAACTATTTTGTGGGTGTTCATGAAAATGTGCATTTGTAAGAGAATTTTGGATACATACACTGAGAATATTTCTGTTCCAGTAAATAATAACACTAAAAATTTCCAACTGAGCTGATTGGTACTTTACATTTTACAAAGCACTGACAATATCTCAACAGTCCCTCATAACTTCCCAGTGAAATAAAGTAGAGCCCATGTAATATTTTTCCCATTTTATAGGTAAAAAATTGGCTCAGAAAACTTAAATGACTTGGCCAAGGTCATATAGGTAGTAAATGGTAGAACTGACTTTTGAATTAAGGCATTTATTTTTCAAAATCCTAGACTGTTTCCATTAAAGAATGCTAGAAAGAAGGGGGAGATGTTAGAACAAAGTGCATGAAATCAACTAGAATACCAATATCAATGTAAATATTAAAAATGACAAAAACTATTTGAAAATCAATAAATTTTGCATCTATCTGAAAGACTATTAAATGGCATCTGGTTAGATTTCTATACCCAGAAAAAACATTCCTTCAAATTAAGATGAAATAAAGATGTTTTTAGCCAAGCAAAAACAGAGATTTCATTATCAGCAGGAAAGCATTTCTTAAATCCTAGACATAAATTTTTCTAACAGAAGAAAAATGATCCAGACAAAAACAATGAGTACAAGAAGAAATAAAGAGCACCAAAAAAGTAATTTTGTGAATATGCATAAATGAATATTAACTCTACAAAATAAAATTAACAATATCTTGTGGTGCTTAAAAATTACGTAGAATAAAAATTCATGACAAAAATAAGGCAAATGACACAAGAGGGAAAAGATTCCAATTAAAAAACTAAATTATCAGACTGGAAAAATAAAAGGTATATTCTGCTCACAAAACAAACTTTAAATGTAGGAACACAGAGAGGCTGATAGAAAAACCATACAAACACCAAAATGGCAAGAAACACGACTAAGATTAAGATGGTGGATCAATAAAACAAGCAAACCACCAGGAATATAAAACAATTCTAAATCTGTATACACCCAATAATGTGTGTGTGTGTGTGCATGTGCATCGTGTGTGTGTGTGCATGTGCATCGTGTGTGTGTGTGTATGAAGCAAGAACTGACAGAATTTAAAAAATCAATCAAGATAGAAAAAATCTACACGATGACAAAATTGACATAATTGGCAAGCTGATGTAAATGCAACCAACAATAACAGAATTCAATGTTTTTTCAAGGGCACAGGGAACATTTACCAAAATTGACAATTTACACAGGGCCATAAAGCAAGCCTTAACAGTTTTTAAGGACTGAAATCTTCAAAGCCTGATCACAGTAAAATTGTGCTAGACATGAATAACAGAGCGATAGAGAAAAAGAGATAATTGTAAAACCATAAAATTTCCAACTGCTTGAAAACTAAGAAATACACATCTAAATAATCCTTAGGTCAAACAAGAGATTAGAAACAGTTTTAATGGAATGCTAACGAAGATACCAAATATCAACACATTGAATGCAGTTAAGGTGCTTACAGCAAAATTCAAAGTATTAAATGCATATATTACAAAAAAAAAAGCTTAAAATCTATCATATAAGTCAACTTGAGAAGCTAAAAAAACAGCAAATCACACCAAAGAAAGTTTAAGGAAATAAATTTTAAAAGAGAAGAAATGAATGAAATAGAAATAAACAATAGAAACAAAGTCAGTGAAGACTAATACATTTAATAGATCTCTAGCAAGGCTGATCAAGAAAATCAGAAAAAAAACACAGATTAACAATAACACAAATAGAAAAAGGTGCAACACTATAGACTCCACAGATATTAGAAAGTATTAAGATGACATTATAAACATGTTTTTTCCAATAAATTTGACAATATGGATAAAGTTAACAGTCTTCTAAGAACACAACTTACTGACACAAGAAGAAAAACATAATCTGAATAGTTTTTTATCTATTAAACAGAGATAATTTCTTATTTAAGGTAATAAAACTCAAAGCAGAATTACCATTTGACCCAGCAATCCCATTAGTGGGTATATACCCAGAGGAATATAAATCATTCTACTATAAAAACACATGCATGCATATGTTCATTGCAGCATTGTTCACAATAGCAAAGATATGGAATCAACCTCAATGCCCGTCAATGGTAGACTGGATAAAGAAAATGTGATACATATAAATGATGGAATATAAAAGAATGAGATCATGTCCTTTGCAGCAACATGGATCAACCTGGAGGCAAACTAATAGAGGCACAGAAAACCAAACACTGCATTTTCTCACGTATAAGTGGGAGCTAAACATTGACTACATGTGAATGCAAAGAAGGGAACAACAAACACTGGGGCCTACTTGAGGGTAGAGGGAGAGGAGGAGGTTGAGGAACTCAAAAATAAAAGTAAAGAGGCAGTTGCTGTAACAAACTATAAACAAACAAATAAATAAAGGTTTAAACACAAAAAATATAGTTAACAATAATTTATTATGTATTTCAAAATAGAAGATTTGGAATGTTCCCAACACAAAGAAATGATAAATGTTTGAAGCAATGAATATCTCAATAACCTAGATTTGATCATTATGCATTGTAAGCTTGTATCAATATACCACATGTGCCCCATAAACATGTACGATCATTATGTATGCATAAAAATTTTTTTAATTAAAAAAAACTGCCTATTGTGTACTATGCTTAACACCTGGGTAATGACATAATCTCTACACCAAGCCCATGTGACATAATTTATATATATATATATGTATATATATGTATGTATGTATAAAACAAACCTACACATGTACCCCTGAACCTAAAAGTTTAAAATAATAATAATTGAGATAGACAACAGAAGTATCCCCTGACCCTCTATCTCAAAAGTAAATATTATAAAGCAATCCTTGTAAGAACAGGAGCTACATTTGTTTGGTTTTGTTTTTGCCTACCAATGTATTTTCAGCACAACAACAGAACAGTGGCTAGCTGTATCTTTTCAATAGAGATATTTGTTGAATACAGAAAAATAAAACAAAATAATAAAAAGCTCTTGCAAAGAAAAACTCCAGGACCAGATGGCTTTACTGATAAATTCTTCCAAACATTTAAGAAATAAATAACAATAATCTTGCTCAACCTCTTCATTTTGTAAGACTAGGACAAGTTTGATACTAAAATATAACAAGGATATTATATGAAAGGAAAATTACAAGCAAACGTTTTCATGAATGTTGATTCAAATAACCCACATTTACACACACATATTAGCAAATAGAATACAGTGACATATTAAAAAGATAATACATCATGACCACATAGATTTTATTTCAGAAATACAGAGTTGACTTAATATATGAAAATAAACAAATATATATCTCATTATAGAAAAAAGTTGAAAAACCATATCACCATCTTGATTGATGCAAAAAAGCATTTTATAAAATTCAAAACTTATTGTATTTTTAAAAAGAAGAAAACTCCTAGCACACCAGATATAGGAGGGAACTTCCTTAATCTGATTTTTTGAAGCTTAAAAATATATAGTAAACATGATGCTTATTGGCGAAATATTGAAAGTTTATTATTTTCTTCTGAGATTAGGAACAAAATAAGAATGTCTACTATCATCACTTCTATTGAACACTGTAATGAAGGTGCTGCCCAAAGCGATAATGCCAGAAAAAGTAAATTTTTAAAAAAATCTATAAAGATTAGTAAAGAAAACATTAGACTGTCATTAATCATGTCAACATGATTGTGTACAGAAGAAATTCCAAAGACCTGACAAACTGTTAGACTTAACGAGGGAATTATGCAAGACTGCTGAATACAAAGCCCTTCATTTCTATAAACTTGCACAAAAACACACTTAAAGTGGCCCACAAAATACCAGCCAAAATCCTAGCAGACATTTTGGCAGGAACTGACAAGCAGATTCTAAAATTTATATGGAAATACAAAGGGACCTGAATAGCCACAGCAATTAAACAAGAACAAATTTAGAAGTTTGTATGACCAAATATCAAGATTTATTATAAAGTTATATTGCTTATATTATAAAGTTATATTAC